GGCCGACAGATCTGCGTACGGGCAGTTGCATAGCGCCGCAAGAGGCATCTCTCGATGAGCGCGACGAAGTCTCAACAGCGTTGCAAGAACCAAACCGCCACCGGCGCTGTCGCCAGCTAGGATGATGTTCTCCGGTGACATCTTCTCGTGCTTAACGAGGTAGTCGAACATGACCATGGCGTCATCCAGAGGTGTGGGGAAGCAGACCTCGGGTAATTTACGGTAGTTGGCCAGTAAGATCTGGACGTCCATCGAAGTCTCAGTGCCACCCCAAGCAGCTCGAAGTTGGCTTTGCACCTGAGATAGTAGACGACTGGTGAACTCGACGAAGAAGCGAGGACTGAAGAGTGCGTAGCCCCCTCCATGGTAGTACAGCACTACGATCCGTCTCTCGTTGTTGCTCCCACCTCTAGAGCGTAGCCATAGATGCTCCAGTCCGTTGTATCGGAAGCTCTCGAGCTTGTGGCCGTGACGCCAACACGCAAAGGCCCCTAGTAGCCGTCCGACGAGTTCGAAGTTGCGTCGGAACGCCAACGCGTTGGGCAACTTAAGGATGTGGCTGCCGTTGCGTTGGCCTGCAGCGAACGCGATGGCCTGGAACCACTCGTACCATAGCGTCCACTCTGGGAACTTGGGGTGACATCCCCGCTTGATGAACTGCAGTACGGCAGCATTGGCCGCTGCACTGACATGACCGGTCAAGGTGCAGACGTCTCTGAACGAGAGACAGAAAGGTCGAAGGAGTTCGTGAACTCCCAGTAGCAACACCAGTTTGATCAGGATGAAGACGTGGTTGAGTCCGAGCCATTGCAAGTGAGTCGCATTGACCCATAACGAGATGGAAGCGACGGTGAGGAAGACGGGGAAAGTGTATGCAGCACCGTAGCCCGACGCTCGACCGCTGGCGAATTTCTGAACGTGTTTGCGAACTTGCTTCATTGTGAGAGGTTGGAATGAAGACTTGAGCACAATGAAGCGAGTTGAAGAGTGAAAGGCGATCGCAGAGCTGGAGTCATTGGATCTTGTCCCTCTGCTGGTGAGGCCAGCACGTCGAATTTCGACTCGAAGAGGCGAAGTGACGCCTCGTCTTGGATCTGCATCTTTTGGAGCAACGAAGGCCGTTCGAAAGGGCTCCGCTAAGCTGCTCCATGAAGGGTAGGATAACTTCCAGCGATGAGTGGGAGGTGATGACAGCTGCGGCTGTAGTTGACTGCCCCACTTGAGTTGCGCAAAGCAGCCTACGATGTCGTTGCCGCATTCCCAATGTGCTGTATGGGCTGGTACAGTATCGTTAGTGTGGTCTCCGCAAAAGCGTAGCACGTTCGAGATTGCGAGCTGAAGTTGCGAAGCAGCCATCGGTGGGAGGAGGATGGGGTGACTCCAAGTCACTGTTTGCACGACAGGACGCTATTCTCGCCATTCTGTTGGCTTTCAACTTGGCTCATGCCGTCGCTCTCCCTTCGTCAACTACCTCAACAACAAAAATGGCGTCGCGAAAGAAGCAGCCCCTACAACCGTGTGTACTAGAAGACGAGACCAGCCCCGATACTAGGGCCATCAGTGCGTCTGTAAACACGACCAGTAATTCGTGTGATTCTTTCTGTGTGCTTGATCCAGTCCTTGCTGCGACGAGTTCAATTCGGAAATACGAGAGAGGAGAAGTTTCACTTGACTTGAGATCGACAAATATATAGTGTGTCTAGTACTGCTAGCAGTTAGCGGCTGGGTGCTCGCAATTGATGATGGTCGAGCTGCCAATAGGGTGTTGTAGATATTGTCCTCGTTCGCTGGAGGTAGGTACGTCAGTGTAGTCTACATGTATTCGCTATACTCGCTCGTCGCCTTCGTCATGTCGACGTGGGGGGAGGGCTTACTCGAAGAGACGACGATTGAGTTTCTTGCGCGAGCTCGAACGAGTCACTGGTTTCTCGTAGGTTTTGGCCGTTGCTGCAGCCGTCGCAAGCAGGCTCTGATGCTTTAGAGCACGACGATCCTGTGCCTTACGAGGAGTTGTCGCTGCATTGCGAGAAGCTTGAACCTGAAGT